GCGGTTGTCTACCGCAGGTCGTCGTGGATGCGCATGTGGCCGAATAGACCCATGCGATGCGTGAAGGTGCGAGGGCAGTGTGGGCAGTGGAGGCGAGTGCGGTGAGTGTAGGTTGGTGCTCCAGGCACTGGTTCGCCAGTCTCTGTGCGATGGATTCGCAAGTGACCGACCAGGCCGATGCGTGAGGTGAAGGTGCGTGGACAATGTGGGCATGAGAGGTCGGCGGTGTCTGTGTCAGCTGTAGAGGAGGCAGTGGTGTTGGTGGTGGTGGCGGTGGTGGTGGTCGGCGCGTTTGACGGTGGAGCGAGGATGGGTCTGGGCGTGGTGGATGTGTTGGATGTCGTGGCTGTATCGGAATTGTGGTCAATTCCGCTCTCGTGGATGCGCATGTGGCCGAATAGACCCATGCGATGCGTGAAGGTGCGAGGGCAGTGTGGGCAGTGGAGGCGAGTGCGGTGAGTGTAGGTTGGTGCTCCAGGCACTGGTTCGCCAGTCTCTGTGCGATGGATTCGCAAGTGACCGACCAGGCCGATGCGTGAAGTGAAGGTGCGATCGCAGTGAGGGCAGATGTAGTCCTGGCCCTCACGTCTGCTGATGGAGGTTGCAGGGGTTGTGCCTGTTGTTGTGTCAGGTTCGGCTGTGGTGAGGTCGTGGGCGACAGACGCCGAAGCGGCCGTCGTTGTGGCAGTGAAGGAGGAAGAGGAAGGGGAGGAGTGAGGGGTGGTAAGGTCGGTGGCGTCGATGTCGGCTGGGGAGTGGTTAGTGGGTGCACAAGGCGGTGGGTTGAGAGTGGGGCTCGGCGGGGTGGGTGTGTCAAGGCTGCGGTCAATTCCGCTCTCGTGGATGCGCATGTGGCCGAATAGACTCATGCGATGAGTGAAGGTGCGAGGGCATTGTGGGCAGTGGAGGCGAGTGCGGTGAGTGTAGGTTGGTGCTCCAGGCACTGGTTCGCCAGTCTCTGTGCGATGGATTCGCAAGTGACCGACCAGGCCGATGTGTGAGGTGAAGGTGCGGTCACAGTGAGGGCAGGTGTAGTCCTGATCCTCATCACTGGAATCGAGAGATGTGGGGGTGGTTGCGGTTGTTGTGTCGTGGTTGGCGATGCGTGAGACGGCAGCCTGAACGGCCATCGCTGGGGCAGTGGAGGAGAAGCGGGAGGATGGAAGTGGTGGTGCAGAAGGAATGTCAGAGTTAGTTGGCGGAAGAGAGGACGAGGAAGAGGCGGGCGGGGGGACGATGGCTGGAGCAGTTCGAGAGGTGCAGTTGGTTCGGAGATGTCCAACAAGTCCGATTCGTGCCCGGAATGTCCGTTGACATCGAGGACACGTAGGGGGAGGTTGTGCGGCGGCGTTGCGGACTGGGCGAAGTTGTGATTTGCGGGCTTCGCGTTTCGCTTTGGCGGCGGCGATTCGGTTGGCTTCATAGATAGCAGCGCCCGTCTTCACTGTTCTCCTCCATGTCGGACGATCGCGAGCGAGCTCTTCCCAGTTGGTCGGGTTGATGTGCAGGCGCTTCAGGGAGGACTTCAGAGTATCCTTGTAACGGCGAATTTGGCCTCCTTGACGACGAGAACCCGTCGCGACGTCTCCGTAGAAGAGTCGTTTGGGTAGTCGCTCGTCGTCCATGCGCACCAGGTGGCCGCTCCAGCGCAGCTGCATTTGTCTCAGTATGGCGTAGATGCTGAGGATTCCCGTTCGTTCCAGTACTTCCGTGTCGGGGATGCGGTCCTGCCAGTTCAGCCTCAGGATGCGGCGGAGACAGCTGAGGTGGAAGTGGTTTAGTCGACGTGCCTGCCTCGTGTACACCGTCCAGGTCTCCGCTCCGTACAGTAGCGTCGGCAGGATGACGGCCTTGTACATCTTCAGCTTTGTGCTCAGTTGGAGACCATGACGATTCCAAACTGTGCTTTTGAGGCGACCGAAGGCTTGACTGGCTTTCGAGATCCTGTTGGCGACTTAGTCGTCGATCTTGGTGTTGCGGGAGAGAGTACTGCCCAGGTACGGGAAGTTCTCTACCACTTGCAGTTGGGTTCCGTTCACGCTGATTTGCGGCTGCGCGTTGGGGGCTGTGGCTGAGTTGGGCGGCGGTTGGTGCATCACCACCGTCTTCTGCGTGTTAATGACCAGCCCAAAGTTCTCGCAGGCGGCGGAGAATAGGTCCATGCTCCGTTGCATCTCCGCTTCGGAGGTGGTGTTCAGGGCGCAGTCGTCGGCGAAGAGGAGTTCGTGCACGGTAGTTGTGGATACGCGCGATTGGAAGTTAATGCGCCGGTGATTCAGGAGATGACCGTCCGTTCTGTAGGCGATGCGGATTCCAGGGCGTTCGTCGCGGTAGGCGTCCATCAGCATGGCAGAGAACATAAGACTGAAGAGGGTTGGTGCCAGCACGCATCCCTGCTTCACTCCGTTGGTCACTGCGAATGCCTCTGAGACAGCGCCGTTGTCCGTGACTCGCGCCATCATACCGTCGTGCAGCTGACGCACCATCTGAGTGAATCGCTCCGGACAGCCGAATTTCTGCATGATCTTCCACAGTCCTTCACGATTCACCGTGTCGAAGGCTTTCGTCAGGTCCACGAAGGTAGAGTACAGGTGGGTCCGCATCTCCTGGCACTTCTCCTGAAGTTGGCGTGCGGCGAAGATCATATCCGTGGTCCCACGATGACGACGGAAGCCGCATTGGCTTTCCGGCAGAAGGCCCTGTTCCAGATGGATGTTGAGGCGGTTGAGCAGGATGCGAGCGAAGATCTTCCCGGCGATGTTCAGTAGGGAGATGCCGCGGTGGTTGTCGCACGAAGATCTTCCCGGCGATGTTCAGTAGGGAGATGCCGCGGTGGTTGTCGCAGACTTGGCAATTCCCTTTGCGCTTGTATAGGTGCACGATAGTTGCGTCCTTGAAATCTTGCGGGACTTCGCCTTGACGCCACATCTCCTGGAAGAGCGCAGTCAGGTGATCCATCAGTAGGGGACCTCCGTGCTTGTAGACCTCAGCAGGGATTGCGTCCGATCCGGGTGCTTTCCCGCTGGAGAGCTGCTGCACGGCCCTGATGGTTTCCTGGAGAGATGGCGGGAGGTCGAGGTCCACGTTGGTCTCCACTTGCGGCAAGCGGGCGATGGCGGCGTCGGAGATGACGGAAGGGCGGTTGAGGACGCCCTGGAAATTCTCGGCCCATCGCTGTAGGATTTGCGTCTTCTCAGTCAGGAGAGTGCTGCCGTCGGCGCTGAGAAGAGGAGCAGTGCCCTTCGTCGGCGGACCGTAGACAGCTTTGATCGCGGAGAAGAAGTTCTTCCATTCGTTGCGGTCCGCGTAGCCTTGGATCTCCTCAGCTTTGCGAGCAGTCCAGGCGTCCTGCATCTCGCGCAGTCGTTGCTGAAGCTGTCGACGACTGCGGTAGAAGGCAGCTTTGTTGTCCTCAGTAGGGTGATCTACGTAGGCTTTGTGAAGGCGGTTCTTCTCAGCAAGCAGATTTCTGATGGCGGCGTCGAACCAGTCCTGGTGTTGGCGGGGAGCGCGACCGAGGACGGCGAGCGCCGTCGACTGGACCTTGTCTCGCAGTTGACACCAGCGGTTCTCCACGGAGGCGTTCTCGGCAGCGGCGGCGGCGTCGTCGGCGGCGGCAGCGATAGGAAGGTTGTCTAACCGTTGAGCTAGCTCATTGCTGAAATGGAGACGGTGAGCAGGCAAAGACAACAAAGCAACATTCAGCTTACCTGGGGGTAGCTTACCTTGTGGTCTCCTGCGAGGCTGTAGGCGAATACGCATCTTCGAGATGACGAGGCGATGGTCGGTCCACCCGTCAGCACCCGCGATCGCCTTCGTCACCAGCACGTCCCGCTGATCTCGCCTCCGGACGAGGACATAGTCCAGCAGGTGCCACTGACGCGACCGAGGATGCCTCCAGGTGGCCTGCTCTCGCTCCGGCAGACAGAAGAACGTGTTCGTCAGGATGAGGCGGTGTTCTGCGCAGGCGCGAAGCAGTAGCAGACCATTGTCGTTGGAGCCGCGAAGACCGTGGGGGCCGAGCACTCCCCTCCAGGCAGTGTGGTCTGTGCCGACGCGGGCGTTGAAGTCGCCAAGGACAATCAACTTGTCCGCCTTCGACACAGTCGCCAAGAGGGCATGCAGGTCCTCGTAGAATTTGTCTTTGACGGCGTCGGGGCTGGTCATCGGTGGAGCGTAGGCGCTGATGATGGTGGCGAACTTGCCTCCTCGCCGGAGGGGCAGACGGAGGCTCATTAGGCGGTCGTTGATTCCCTGCGGCAGACAGGGCAGACGTCCCACGATGTTGGTCCGAATGGCAAAGGCGACACCCGCGTCTCGTCGCTCTGCCTTGGGTCGACCACTCCAGAAGAAGGTGTAGCCGGCACCCACCTCCTCCAGTTGGCCTTGTTCGGAGAATCGGGTCTCACTGAGTGCGGCGATGTCCACCTTGTAGCGCGCCAGTTCTCGTGCCACTAGCGCCGTCCTCCGTTCCGGTCGGTTGCTCCTCGGATTGTCTAAAAGGGAACGAACATTCCAGGCTGCCAGAGTGAGCGGGCTCACCCTGCCAGTCTGGCGACTGCGGCGGCGAAAAGTAGGAGTAGGAGAAGAAGAAGAATAGGCTGGAAGAGGAAGAGAGCGATTGTTGTTGTTGTTGTTTCGGTTTTGGCTGTTTCGACCGTGTGTTTTTTTGTCTGCGGCCACGGCCAGCCTACAGACAGCGTGGTTCCCAGCGATCTTTAGGGCACCTTTTCTAGCCCCCTCCCCCTCGCGGGGGCAGGCAACGCATCCCTGAACAGGGCTGCCCGGTTATCCCAGACGGCTACCGGACTCCACTATGGGCCACGACTTTTTGTTAGTGAGAGAATGACCCGAATTAGCCTGGGACCTTGGTGGTGGTGATGATGTGATGGAGTGAAGTAGGAGAGAGCATACACACTAACTAACGCTAGGGGACTTAGAACTAGAGTGGACAAGCGGACACAGTCATCAGTCAGAGACAGAGTGAGGGCACCACACAAAGTCAAGCACCGTAACACCTAGCTATTAGTAGAGAGTGGCATAGACTGACGGACAGACAATCGCAGCAGGCATCGAGGGTGTCGTTTAGCTATTAGCAGACAGACTAGCATATAAAGGGCAAGCAGCAAGCGCAGCGTACGACGCGGAACTTCAACAAACAAAAGGAAGAAACAAAGCAAACGCACTTACCTGAGGGGGAACTTACCTGGTGGCCTCCTGCGATGGTCCAGGCAGAGCCTCGTCTCGACGATGTCGACGCGAAGATCCATCCGGCCAGCGCAGACCACAGTACCGCGCGTGCAGGTGCACGCACGGATACCCTCACCTGGTTTAGCCCGCCGGTCGAGACGGTTGACCGGGGTGTGGCCGCTGAGCAGAGCCCAGCTACGTGGAGCCACAGGTGAGAGTTAGGTGCCAGCAAATGGACGCTAGGCGTAGTCTCACCTGCAAGCAGGTGAGCGACCACTACGACCATCACGTGGACCCACCGCTGACACCCCTACACCCCCTAAACCTAACCATAAGCCTAATCTCGACCCTGAAATTAACCCTAATCCTAACCTTAAGCCTAAACCTAAACCTAAAACCAAACTTAAGCCTAACCCTAAGCCTAACCTTAATCCTACAACTAACCACAAACCTAAACATAACCCAAACACTAACCTCGAACCTAACCCTAAACATAACACTAAACTTAGCACTAAACCTAACCTTAAACCTAGTCCTAAACCTAACGCTAAACCTAATCCTAACCCTAACCCCAAACTTAACCCTAACCCAAAAATTAACACTAACTATAAGCCTAACCCTAAACTTAAGACTAGCCCCAACGCTAACGCTAACCCTCAAGATAAGCCCAAACCTAACCTTAACCCCAAAACTAAACTTAAGCGTAATCCTAGTCATAAACTTAACCCTAACCCTAAACTTGACCCTAATCCTACCCTTGACCCCAAACCTAACCTTACTCCTAAACTTAAACTTACCCTAACCATAAGCATAACCCTAACGCTAACCCTAAACTTACCCCTAATCTTAACCCTAACCCTAAACTTTACCCTAACCCCAACCATAAGCGTAAGCCTAACCCTAAACTTATGCCTAACCTAACCTTAACGCTAACCCTAACCTTAACCGCATCCCTAACGCTAACGCTAACCTAAACCCTAACCCTAACACTGAAACCTGACCCTAAAAAGCCAACCCTAATCCTAAAACTTAACCTACGCCTAACCCTAACTTTCACTAAACCTACCAGCCTGACCGAAATGGGCGACCGGCCTAACTCAGTAAGAGCACACCTACTGATAACAGGTATCCTAGACAAGGTAAACACACCTGCTGATAACAGGTACGTACGTCGACAGTATCACCGTATAATGTCTGGCCACCAACTGCGAGCTTACCGAAATCTGTCTGGTTACGTAGCAGTACCGGCATGTGTAACAAACGAAAGACATGACAATTTGCTGATCTAAATTTTGCGTCCAATCTCATCTCCAGTCGATGTGACATAGTTTGCCGCTATCAGATACTGGGTGGTGGATAGAAACGTGAGGCTGGTGTAGATTTCTGCTCCTGTCTTCGCTGCCATTCTCAAGGCCGGTCGATCGTGGGTGAGGTCGTCTCAGGTCTCCGGTCTTATTTGTGAATCTCTAAGAGAGACCCACAGTGTATCCTTATAGCGTCGCTTTTGTCCTCCTTGTCAGCAAACATCCTCAGTAACGTCGCCGTAGAAGTGTAGGCTGGGCGAGCGTTGTTGTCCACCCTCGCTAGATGGCCACTTCAGTGCAGTTGCATTTGCCCCGGTCCGCTCTACGACTTCTGTTTCCGGATCCTGTCTGCCACCTCAGCCTTCGTATTCTCTGAAGGCATCTGAGGTGGAAGTGATTCAGTTTCCTGGCGTGCTTGGCGTAGACCATCCATGCATCTACCCCTTAGAGTAGAGCCTTCCGGATTACCGCTCTGTGCATCTTAAATTTGGCGTTGGGATGAAGACCGCGGCGATTCCAGACTGAGGCCCGTACCCGGCCGAACGCCTGGGTGGCTGTGAAGATCCGGAGGGTCACTTTGTCGTCTAACTTGATATTACGTGTGATTATACTTTATAGATATACGAAGTAATCCAGAGTGGTGAGTTGAGGTCTATTGAAGTTGGTGTGACGTTCGTTGTTGTCCACGTTTGGTCCCGACTGATGCACTGTTGCGAACGCGAAGTTCACGATCGCCAATCCCAAACTGTGGATATCAGGACAAGGTAGGAGTTACGAAAGAATTAATAAATAAATGTCAAATGACCTGATAGTCCAACATATGCCACACGCATCGCCTTGAGCCGAGTTCCGTCCATTCGGATAAACAGACCGTAAGTTCAAGAATGATGAACGAGTAGGTAAAAGCAAGATAGTCTGGCGCCTCGGCACAGTACCCTGCTCCGAGACCGGAGTGCGGTGAATACGACGCCGAAGGATGTGTACAAGTCTAAAAGAAATGAGTGACCAACCGATCAGGAAAGTGAACGTGACGACCACTGCGAGTGATATATACAGGGTCGGTCGAAGAGTGGCTACGTCCTGTGGCGGAAGTGTTAGAGTTAGAGGTGGCAGTTGGAGGTAGCGGACAGGGAGGGGGGAAAAATACGGGATGACAAAATAGAGGCTAGAGGAGGTGGTGGAGCAGAGGGTAGGAGACCAATAGGGCTCGTCCGACGGAAAGTCCAGGGCAGATGCCTTGAGGCCGTCCACACTCATGATCTCCTCAAGATTGGTGCGTTGTACGCGGAACATCTTCACCCCTCGAGAGAGGGCTCAGGATGAGCCGTCCTAGGGCGGTTCGAGAGGCCGGTGGACTCAATCACATTGAAGGAAGACGTGAGAGCACGTTACCAAGTCCTTCTCGAGATAAGACAAAGAGGCGGATGACCTGGTTGGAACCCGAGGAAGTGTCCGCACAAACTGCCGGAGGTGGTGCAGAAGGTTGGTGGGATCCTCGAACGCTCTATGAGGATTTGACGAGATCATCTCACCAGGAAGACGGACTGTGACGCCGAAGACCAGTTCAGTTGCAGAACAGTCAAGGTCTGGCCTGAGAGCGGAGCAGATACCCAAAAGGAACAGGGGAGGATGGTCTGGTAGATCAAAATAAATAGAAGAGCAATTCATCTCATGTTCAAAAACAAATGAACAGTGGAAAGTCACAGGAGGACATGTTAAAATGTTGGGAGGGTTCGTTGAACAACAGTACCTTGAGTTAGTCCCTGCTTTTGAATCTGCTGAGACAGGGGGAAGGCAGCTGTCGCAGCCAAGTCGCGACTGGCCTGAAGTCTAGTCAGACCCAAGGACGAGCATCTCTGTGTATAGAACGAAAAGCTGCCAATGCAATGCCCAGAGGCCAGAACTCATACCCTGAAAACTGGACTGACAAGGCCAAGTTATGTGTAGGAGTAAAGCCTTTTGAACAGCTGAATGAACATTCACAGCTTCCTCCCCCCGCCCCTATCCCAGACACCTGTGTGTGCCTTAACCACTGATGTCACAGCCTAAATTCTGGTTGGCTGGAGATGGAGGACAACATAAGGAAGGAGTTATTTTCTGCGAAACTCTGAGACAGATCGACTGGGCTTCAGCCAGCGCGTCTGGGATGAAGTGAAGTAGTTCTTTGGCGCTACGGATGAGAGCAAGCGAGTGACAGTGAAGTAGGCGGGCATGTGCTTGTGCGCGCATGGTGCGACCCACTGCTGAAACAGAGAAGGCGGTGCTTCGGTGTCCATTAGTGGTGCGGGAAAACTTAGCTGCCTCCTAGCGTAAATTGGATGCAGATGTGAACAAGCTGCACTGGTTGAGTGGACTTGTTGCGCGGTTAGGGAGAATATACTGAGTATGCCACCGTTTGGAAATGTGGATGTGGAAAGATTCTGGGATAAAAGTCCTTCTTCTAACGACTTGCAGTTTCTGCGTCAAAACATCTTCCACATTTAACTTCGATTATAGACGGATTCATTGTAGGCCAGATTGATTTGTATACTAGGAGGATAGAGAGTGTACTCAATATTATGCGCATTCTAGAAGATTAAAGGTCGTAAGGTTGAGAAGACATGAACACCTGAAAAGTCCTCGCATTTAGATGAGGAGGAGGAAGAGATTTCGAGCAGTGGGAAGAAAGCTATACTGACTGCAGCTTCCGTGCTGGCTCTCAAGTTCATTATTAGAAATACGTGCGGGGGAGGCACAGAACAGATAGTTTAATGGAGCAGAATAGCCAAGCGGCTCCATCTTGGCTCACTCCCCGAATGACCACCTCGGTCTTGGTGGCAGTTATTGGTCATGCGATGGGCAGCGTAATTCAGCCTGGCTGTCAGCGCTTAGTAAGCGAGGGGGAATTTAGAACAGATGCGTTTGATTTACTACTTGATGTTCTCACCTTGCTTGCTGTCTTGCCACAGACTCGATTAGAGACGTGCCAACGTAATAGAAGGAGCGATAGATGGGTCTCCCCCCGACCGGCCGTCTTCTGTTCGCTCAACCCAGCCTGTAGTTTAGCTCCGTTTGACCTCTGTGGTCGCATTGACAGCGAGCGAACGGAAGGCACTTGATAACACCAGAATGCTAATCTGGGTCCGGTTTGTCCTTGCTACGCATGCGGTTGTCGCGCATTCTGAAGACAGATCGGTGCACGACGCAGATCTTTAACTCGTGGATTATGCGTTACGTGCCCTCACAGACTCTTCCGACATAAGGCAACGTGAATGATGTGGAGGTCCTGCCTATTTACCATCATCATCAGGTACATGCATTTGGCGAGATGGCAGACACCCTGCGATGAGCATTGGGTGGTGGAAGTGGAGTGGAGTAGATTTGCCATCTTAACCGACAACACGGATAGCGGAATTGGTGCATCTTCCTCTATCAACTGTTGCAGTGCATGCGCAACCTAACAAGACACCATCTGAGACCTTCTAGCCAGACTTTTTAGGTCCTGTTGTATTAGAAGACACTTCAACAGGGATGATCCCTAGTTCTAATTTCTCTTAGAGACGTTCCAGTCTCCTCAATAATACCGTCACTGTCATCAGTGAGTGGTTCACTACGGTTGGCGGCGTGCTGCACTTTGAATTTCTTCTTTTCTGAGCCTGCCTTAGTTGACTCATTTGATTAATAACATGCAAAATACATACAAATCAGCGTAACTCACATAATTTTGAGTAGTGCGCCTAACCACCAGTTCTTTACAGTCTAACGTGGCTGGATTTGCAGCGTACAGAACTTGGAATTGCAGTCGGAATTCAAGCCGAGTTTCATCCCCTTCTTAATGCGCGTGGTCTACCAATGCCAGTTAATTAGGCGTTTATTTACCATGCGGTGTTGTACCTTTCAAACTTCTCAAAATTACGTTTATTTTGAGGCGCCTTGCACGTAGCATGATTATGTTGTCATTACTGCACGAGAGAAGCGACAAAATCCTCGACGTTTGCCCCACATTTGACGGGAATACCCTTCATCCTGTCTACGCCACCCCGATGACCAGCCCTTGCGCTGCAAGGGACAGATTCTACTAGGACCTGCACGCACTCCTGGCGTCTGTGCCGAAAGCGGATAAGTCGAATGTCCTTGGTGACTTCAATGGCCGTGCGAGGTCAGACCATGCTGCCTGGAGATGAGTTCTGGGTCCCCATTGTCTCGACGGCCTCAATGTTAATGGCCTGCTCCTCCTACGAACCCGCGCAGAACACCGTCTCATCCTGACCAACACCTTCCGTCTTTCGACGTGAGAGGAGGCTACTCGTATGCAGCCTCATTTGCGACACTGGAACCTGCTGGACTATGTCCTCGTCCGGAGGCGAGACCAGCGGGACGTGCTGGTGAGAGCGGCGATTCCGAGTGCCGATTAGTGGACCTGTAGCGGCTCAGCAGAGAGAATAAGTACTCTGAGCGCTACAATTATCAAGTCCAATTCCAGATTTTAAGGAGAAGTCAGAAAGCACCCGAATGAGGGGTTTATTGGGCACAGAACGCGGAGTTGTCCTCTCAGGCGACAGTGGCCACTGGCGAAGCCAGGGCTGATGTTGACTGCGTCCAGTCAGGCCTGAGAGTCCCTGAGACAGTGGTGGCAGCCGCTTTTGTAGGCTCGTGGGCCAAGCTCAAGTGGCGGCCAGTCAGCGTGCGTGTTGCATTTGCCGTGGGGTGGTGTCCCAGTGGCTTTTTCCGCTGGTTGCAGGTGGTGGCACGTTCAAGTGGCCGCATGGGCAGCTGCGACTGCGCGGACGCAGGTATGCCCGACCTGTTGGTTGTGTGACTTCAGGTCACCTCGTCTGGGACGGCTCGCTGCAATGGATGAATGACCTTGAGGCAGCGAGGTCTGGAACAATGACGCCAGACCGGTCATGATGTCTGGCTGCCACAGACCGACCATCGTCTCGTCATCTCCAAGATGCTGATTCGCCTACAGCCTCGCGAGAGAGCACAAGGTATGCGACGCTGAGGTAAGCTGAATATTGCTTTGTTGACTTTGCCTGCTCACCATCTTCATTTCAGCAATGAACTAGCTCAACGGCTAGTCAGCATTCGAGTCACCGCCACAGGCAATGCCGTCGACGAGAATGCTTCCGTGGAGAACCGGTGGTGTCAACTGCGGGACACACTCCAGTCGAAGACCCTGGCTGTTTTCGGTCGCGTGCGTCGCCAACATCAACACTTGTTCGATGACAACTAAGCCGCCATCAGCAACCTACTCACCGAGAAGAACCAACAGCACAAATCATACCTCACCTGCCCCACTGATAGAAAGCAGCCTTCCACTGTATTCGCCGCCTTGTGCAACAGCGGCTGCGCGTGTGCGTCATCTCTATGATGACATGATGTCGTGGGTTACGGTCAACAGAACTGTCTCAGAGGCATTCGCAGTGACCGACTGAGTGAAGCAGGGCTGCTTCCTCGCTCCTGCCCTCTCCAATCTCCTCTTCACTGCCATGCTAATGGACGCCTACCGTGACGGACGCCCTGGGGTCCGCATTGCCCACTGGACAGACAGCCAACTCTTCAACCACCGGCGGATGCACTTTCAGTCGGGTGTATTCACATTGGCCGTGTACGAACTTTTCTTTGCCGACGACTGCACACTGAAGGCCACCTCTGAAGGAGACGTGCAAAGGAGCATGGATATCCTCGTCGTCGCCGCCGCCTGCGACAACTCCGGCCAGGTCATCAACACGGAGAAAAC